ATGTGCATGGTAGTGTACAACATGACGATGTGTGTGGTAGTGTACAACATGACGATGTGCATGGTAGTGTACAACAAGACGATGTGCATGGTAGTATACAACATGACGATGTGTGTGGTAGTATACAACATGACGATGTGTGTCATAGTGTACAACATGACGATGTGTGTGGTAGTGTACAACATGGCGATGTGTGTGGTAGTATACAACATGACAATGTGTGTGGTAGTGTACAACATGACGATGTGTGTCATAGTGTACAACATGGCGATGTGTGTGGTAGTGTACAACATGACGATGTGTGTGGTAGTGTACAACATGGCGATGTGTGTGGTAGTGTACAACATGACGATGTGTGTGATAGTATACAACATGACGATGTGTGTGGTAGTATACAACATGACGATGTGTGTGGTAGTGTACAACATGACGATGTGTGTGGTAGTATACAACATGACGATGTGTGTCATAGTGTACAACATGGCGATGTGTGTGGTAGTGTACAACATGACGATGTGTGTGGTAGTGTACAACATGACGATGTGTGTCATAGTGTACAACATGGCGATGTGTGTGGTAGTGTACAACATGACGATGTGTGTGGTAGTATACAACATGACGATGTGTGTCATAGTGTACAACATGGCGATGTGTGTGATAGTATACAACATGACGATGTGTGTGGTAGTGTACAACATGACGATGTGTGTCATAGTGTACAACATGACGATGTGTGTGGTAGTGTACAACATGACGATGTGTGTCATAGTGTACAACATGACGATGTGTGTGGTTGTGTACAACATGACGATGTGTGTCATAGTGTACAACATGACGATGTGTGTGGTAGTGTACAACATGACGATGTGTGTGGTAGTATACAACATGACGATGTGTGTGGTAGTGTACATCATGACGATGTGTGTCATAGTGTACAACATGACGATGTGTGTGGTAGTGTACAACATGACGATGTGTGTGGTAGTGTACAACATGACGATGTGCATGGTAGTGTACAACATGACGATGTGTGTGGTAGTGTACAACATGACGATGTGTGTGGTAGTGTACAACATGACGATGTGTGTGGTAGTGTACAACATGACGATGCGTGTGATAGTATACAACATGACGATGTGTGTCATAGTGTACAACATGACGATGTGTGTGGTAGTATACAACATGACGATGTGTGTGGTAGTGTACAACATGACGATGTGCATGGTAGTATACAACATGGCGATGTGTGTGGTAGTATACAACATGACGATGTGTGTGGTAGTGTACAACATGACGATGTGTGTCGTAGTGTACAACATGACGATGTGTGTGGTAGTATACAACATGATGATGTGTGTCATTGTGTACAACATGACGATGTGTGTGATAGTATACAACATGACGATGTGTGTGGTAGTGTACAACATGACGATGTGTGTGGTAGTATACAACATGACGATGTGTGTGGTAGTGTACAACATGACGATGTCTGTGGTAGTATACAACATGACGATGTGTGTGGTAGTGTACAACATGACGATGTGTGTGGTAGTGTACAACGTGGCGATGTGTGTGGTAGTGTACAACATGACGATGTGTGTGGTAGTATACAACATGACGATGTGTGTGGTAGTGTACAACGTGACGATGTGTGTGGTAGTGTTCAACATGACGATGTGTGTGGTAGTATACAACATGACGATGTGTGTGGTAGTATACAACATGACGATGTGTGTGGTAGTGTACAACATGACGATGTGCATGGTAGTATACAACATGACGATGTGTGTGGTAGTATACAACATGACGATGTGTGTGGTAGTGTACAACATGACGATGTGTGTGGTAGTGTACAACGTGGCGATGTGTGTGGTAGTGTACAACATGACGATGTGTGTGGTAGTATACAACATGACGATGTGTGTGGTAGTGTACAACGTGGCGATGTGTGTGGTAGTGTTCAACATGACGATGTGTGTGGTAGTATACAACATGACGATGTGTGTGGTAGTATACAACATGACGATGTGTGTGGTAGTGTACAACGTGACGATGTGTGTGGTAGTGTACAACATGACGATGTGTGTGGTAGTATACAACATGACGATGTGTGTGGTAGTGTACAACATGACGATGTGTGTGGTAGTGTACAACATGACGATGTGTGTGGTAGTGTACAACATGGCGATGTGTGTGGTAGTGTACAACATGACGATGTGTGTGGTAGTATACAACATGACGATGTGTGTGGTAGTATACAACATGACGATGTGCATGGTAGTGTACAACATGACGATGTGTGTGATAGTATACAACATGGCGATGTGTGTGGTAGTGTACAACATGACGATGTGTGTGGTAGTGTTCAACGTGGCGATGTGTGTCATAGTGTACAACATGGCGATGTGTGTGGTAGTGTACAACATGACGATGTGTGTGTTAGTGTACAACGTGGCGATGTGTGTCATAGTGTACAACATGGCGATGTGTGTGGTAGTATACAACATGACGATGTGTGTGGTAGTGTACAACGTGGCGATGTGTGTGGTAGTGTACAACATGACGATGTGTGTGGTAGTATACAACATGACGATGTGTGTGGTAGTGTACAACGTGGCGATGTGTGTGGTAGTGTTCAACATGACGATGTGTGTGGTAGTATACAACATGACGATGTGTGTGGTAGTATACAACATGACTATGTGTGTGGTAGTGTACAACGTGACCATGTGTGTGGTAGTGTACAACATGACGATGTGTGTGGTAGTGTACAACATGACGATGTGTGTGGTAGTGTACAACATGACGATGTGTGTGGTAGTGTACAACATGACGATGTGTGTGGTAGTGTACAACATGGCGATGTGTGTGGTAGTGTACAACATGACGATGTGCATGGTAGTATACAACATGACGATGTGTGTGGTAGTATACAACATGACGATGTGTGTCATAGTGTACAACATGACGATGTGTGTCATAGTGTACAACATGACGATGTGTGTGGTAGTGTACAACATGGCGATGTGTGTGGTAGTATACAACATGACGATGTGTGTGGTAGTGTACAACATGGCGATGTGTGTGGTAGTATACAACATGACGATGTGTGAGGTAGTGTACAACATGGCGATGTGTGTGGTAGTATACAACATGACGAAGTGTGTGGTGGTGTACAACATGACGATGTGTGTGGTATTGTACAACATGACGATGTGTGTCATAGTGTACAACATGGCGATGTGTGTGGTAGTGTACAACATGACGATGTGTGTGGTAGTGTACAACATGGCGATGTGTGTGGTAGTATACAACATGACGATGTGCATGGTAGTATACAACATGACGATGTGTGTCATAGTGTACAACATGGCGATGTGTGTGGTAGTGTACAACATGACGATGTGTGTGGTGGTGTACAACATGACGATGTGCGTGGTAGTATACAACATGACGATGTGTGTGGTAGTATACAACTTGACGATGTGTGGCATAGTGTACAACATGACGATGTGTGTGGTAGTATACAACATGACGATGTGTGTGGTAGTATACAACATGACGATGTGTGTGATAGTATACAACATGACGATGTGTGTGGTAGTGTACAACATGACGATGTGTGTCATAGTATACAACATGACGATGTGTGTCATAGTGTACAACATGACGATGTGTGTCATAGTGTACAACATGACGATGTGTGTGGTAGTATACAACATGACGATGTGTGTGGTAGTGTACAACATGACGATGTGTGTCATAGTGTACAACATGGCGATGTGTGTGGTAGTGTACAACATGACGATGTGTGTGGTAGTATACAACATGACGATGTGTGTCATAGTGTACAACATGGCGATGTGTGCCATAGTGTACAACATGACGATGTGTGTGGTAGTGTACAACATGACGATGTGTGTGGTAGTATACAACATGACGATGTGTGTCATAGTATACAACATGACGATGTGTGTCAAAGTGTACAACATGGCGATGTGTGTCATAGTGTACAACATGACGATGTGTGTCAAAGTATACAACATGACGATGTGTGTCAAAGTGTACAACATGACGATGTGTGTAGTAGTGTACAACATGACGATGTGTGTGGTAGTATACAACATGACGATGTGTGTCATAGTGTACAACATGACGATGTGTGTGGTAGTGTACAACATGACGATGTGTGTGGTAGTATACAACATGACGATGTGTGTGGTAGTGTACAACATCACGATGTGTGTCATAGTGTACAACATGACGATGTGTGTGGTAGTGTACAACATGACGATGTGCATGGTAGTGTACAACATGACGATGTGTGTGGTAGTGTACAACATGACGATGTGTGTGGTAGTGTACAACATGACGATGTGTGTGGTAGTGTACAACATGACGATGTGCATGGTAGTGTACAACATGACGATGTGTGTGGTTGTGTACAACATGACGATGTGTGTAGTAGTATACAACATGACGATGTGCATGGTAGTGTACAACATGACGATGTGTGTGGTAGTGTACAACATGACGATGTGTGTGGTAGTGTACAACATGACGATGTGTGTGGTAGTGTACAACATGACGATGTGTGTGGTTGTGTACAACATGACGATGTGTGTAGTAGTATACAACATGACGATGTGTGTGGTAGTGTACAACATGACGATGTGTGTCATAGTGTACAACATGACGATGTGCATGGTAGTGTACAACATGACGATGTGTGTGGTTGTGTACAACATGACGATGTGTGTAGTAGTATACAACATGACGATGTGTGTCGCAGTGTACAACATGACGATGTGTGTGGTAGTATACAACATGACGATGTGTGTGGTAGTGTACAACATGACGATGTGTGTGGTAGTGTACAACATGACGATGTGTGTCATAGTGTACAACATGACGATGTGTGTGATAGTATACAACATGACGATGTGTGTGGCAGTATATAAGGTACTACCTAGTTGTCAACAACAAGTTCGTGTGCTTACTGTTGGCGTCAAAGAAGAGGAAGATGGTTTCCAATTCAGCGGGGGTAAGTTTGCCGTCCTTGTCCTTGTCGACGGCGTCGAACAAGATCGCCTCCTTCTGCGGCTCAGAGTTGCAGGACACCAAACTGAAGAACAGAACCCAGCACCAGCATCAGTGATGTAAAGACAGATCAACAAGGACAGTGCCATCCTTTATCTGTTGATATAAAGCCGGTTGAATTACGATTGTAAATATCTTGATTACAAAATATATTCTATACTGTGATACTGACACAAAGTTAATACCTACCCGATTCTTTCATATTACAGTAAACTACTGTTATAACGAACTCAAAGGGACCACTAATTTTTGCTCGATATAACCGTAGTTTGTAATAAGCATATATACAGCAAATATACAGCAAATGCCCAGGACCAAAAGACAGTACGTTATATCCGTCAGTTCGTTAAAAGCATGTTGTTTACAGTACTATGGTTAATCTGTGATCGCCAGAAATTTGTTTGAGAAGTATATACTTTTATGTCTGAAGACCTACCCAAGAAGGACGAACGACGTCACAGCTGTCACTAGGAACTTCATGATTGTTGGCTGCAAAAAGACAGATCGATTATTGAGTTGACTGAACTGACAACAATCAATTTAAACTATGTAATGTATACGTTGGTCATGATTTGAAAGCTGTGTCCGACGTTTGGTCTTTTCAGAAACACTCATACTCTTCCATTTCGCCACGGGAGGCATTTCCAAGGCCATTACATTCTTCTTGACACGGGGGTTTTGGCGGCCCAGTCGTCTAAGGCGCTGCAATTCGCTTTGCAGAGTTGCGTCCCTTAGGCACGCCAGAAACCTATGATTGTGGGTTCGAATCCCGGTTCGCCCCGATTATGTTTTTTAGGTTTGTCTGCACCATACCCGTGCTCGTGGGTTTCACCAGAAGTGGTAAACGTCTGAGACCTGCATCACTTCGGATTTTCCTCCCACATTAAGCTGACACGCCGTGATATAACAGGAATACTGTTAAAAGCGGCGTTAAACCCAACTCGCTCACTCACTCACTCACTCACTCACTCACTCACTCACTCTTCCTGGCACCGCGAGTCCTAACTAGCATACTATTTCTAGCATGACATGATATTTATTTTGGATAAATGCGATAATCCAAACCGTAAAATTTGATATGAAGATCCGATGAATATGCAAATGAGGTCACATAGGAACTACTTTTATAAGCTGCATGCATCGATACACTTGCTCAATACAATGTTGCCTAACGCCATACAGTACGTGTACATGTGCATTGTATTCATACGGTATTTTTAAAGTTCTTTCAGCGAGTGAATAATGTCTTGAACATTGATTATTAAAAGAATGACATTATACGGTATAGATATTATTACCCTCATGTGTTTCCGCATCGTTAATATCAAAGGCTCGCATGATGTATTATTATACCTCAAAGTGAGATTGACCAATCAGAGAGCAGAACTACTGACCCCACATGAGCCCGTACACCGTCAGTAAATCTCCAAGATGGTTGATACTGACCTTATATGAGACCGCATACCGTCAGTAACAGCCATCTTGAACTTTGCAACACCCACCTCACATATTTTACATGGAAATCCTGGGACCGAAATTCGTTATTTGACACTGTTTTGTGTTTTAATATCATTAATTGTGATGTGCTAGGACATTAATCTGTTTTTAGATCACATTCGTGACTTTATTGATAAAGATTATAGTTTATTCAATTAACATGAATAAATGTTGTCAACAACAAAAAATATAAAAAATTATATATTAGTTAAAATTCTGCTAACCTAATATGACACCGTATGCTGCAACTAAAGACACCATAACTAATAATATGTGCTCCCAATAAACTATCTTTACTAATACGGAAACACACTCATGTTAATAATCTCTATATATTTCATCCTGATAGGTGAACGCGACCGCATGTCCCCATACCCTACCCCCTGCTTGGTCCGTTACACGATGATATTGCCGATGACCGTATCACCGCGGAGTAAAATATAAATTTGAAAGGACTTCTTTCTCGGGGAACCCAGTCGCTAGGAGAGTTCAACTACTTATTTACGTATTAAATGTTGAGTGGTTCAGGCAATATAAGTTTGTTTGTTTGATGTTTAACGCCGCACTCAGCAATATTACAGCTATATGACAGCGGTCTGTAAATAATCGAGTCTGGACCAGACAATACAGTGACTGACATCATGAGTATCAATCCACGCAATTTGGATGCGATGACATGCATCAACCAAGTCAGCGAGCCTGACCATGTCCACTCGATGCCGTAAGTCGCCTTTTACGACAACCATGGTCGCTTTTTACAGCAAGCATGGGTTGCTGAAGACCTATTCTACCCCGGATTCTCCCGGGGCTGGCAATATAAGTGGGTGTGGCAGTATGACAAAACAAAAACCCATCACTACTTGTAGAGTGTATTTAGCGGAACACTTCTCTGGCGTTGATATTTCATATTTTCTTATATTCAACAACATAAACACACTGCAATGTACTGCGCTAGATGATGGTTGTGTCCCTAATTCAGTATTATAATGTAAATATACGCGCAATATCCTCTCGGTAATTTAGCCATTCTGTCAATTGTGATGTGAGAATAGGACAGCAAGCATCTGCGGATTTAAACCGATCGTCATTGATCTCTGAATTTGACCTTCAAACTACTATTCGTAATATATTCCGCTATCACATTCTCTTTTACACTATTAGTCCATACATGTTGCTGTTTAAACGTTCTAATGTATAGGTATTAAATAATTGTTTGAAACCTCTGATTGAAACAGAAGTTTATCTCCTGATTATAATCCGCCTCATATACTTTACCAAGGCTATGAGGTCATACAGAGAGTGTCATACCCTACCGAGGCTAGCAGGCCCTATGTAGGGTACCATGCCCTACCTCTGCTATTCGGTCCTACATGAGCATGATGCCCTACCTAGTTTATCAGGCCCTATATAGAATATCATACCCCACCTAGGTTGTCACGTCCAATATATAGAGTGTCTTTCACAACCAAGGTTATCAGGTACCATTTCCTACCTAGGCTATGCTGTCTCATATAGTGTGACAACCTTGCTTATCACGTTCTACATATAGTGAGTGAGTCAGTGAGCTCGGTTTTACGCCGATTTTAGCAATATTCCATCAATATCACGACGGGTACCATCAATATCATTGCACCAATGTCGGGAATCGAACCCGGGTCTTCGGCGTGACACGCCAACGCTTTAACCACCAGGCTACCCGACCGCCCTCTACATATAGAGTACTATGCATTTAACCAGTGTAACAGGTATCAGTGCAAGTTATACCTAGGTTATCAAGTTGTATACGGTGCCCTACTTTGGGTATTACACTGTAGGTCATATATAAGTATCACGTCCACTGAAGAACACAATCCAATGCCCAGCGTAATCTGTCGTATTCTTTTTATTTTAATAAATCCGAATAACAACATCTGGCAGAATGTTTTTTGTAAAGCTGTTATATTTCCCATTTCTGTATACATCGTGTACACAACTATATAAACAAAACATGTTTATTTTAAATCCGTATACCGGGCAAATTGATACTTGTGTACTGACCGCGAGCCGAACAGTCCTAATGTATCCCCTTAGTGTCGAACGACAGACAGGAAACAACACGTGCGATCTTTTAACGTCTTTTGGTATGACGCGAACGTGGATCGAACCCCGACCTTCGCTCCCTTGGCAGACGCTCTGTCCACTAGACCACGGAGTTGGTCAAATACGAAACAGTAGGTATTGTCTTCATCATGAGTTATCTTTTCCAGTATTATTCAATCTGGCCTCACAAACAAAATGCAATCGGTACCAATTCACAATCAGCAGATCCTGACTGTTAAGGGACGCAACTCTACACGGCGAGGTACAACGTCTTAGCCGTGCAGCCCTCCTGTGACCCCGACAAATAGAAACATGATTTAGGATATGCTGTAAGAGTGATGTCCATATGGCTTTATCAGAATACTCTTGTCGTTCAGGATAAATATGTTTTTTACCTCGTTTTGTACTTACTCAGAAACAGAGTGAGGTAGTTCTATGTTAAAAGAAGATAAGCCTAGTACTCATAGGGGAAACGGATCCGGTCTTATTCAGTAAGGCTAAGTATACGGTAGAACACCTCAGCCATACTTACCTTGAACACAGACGCAGGTAAACTGTCTCTCAGTAGCCCCTTGCCACAGTTCAGATAACACCTGTCATGAATGCCCCGGTTGTATGGAGACCAGCCGTGTAAAATTTATGCTGATTAAAAAAAAAAATTAAAAGTTTAAAAATGCACTTGCTTATCTGCATGCTAAGGAGTTTGGCAGTTGTTGCCTTCCATACACCCAGATAATGCTGACTTCGTGAGAACACTGGAGGAAAGTTTTGGGATTTTTTTTTTATTTTTCGCTACACGCATGTAGTACGAAAGGATTCTTAACAGGAATATATATCACCAATATATATATAGAATTATATCACCAAGAAAAATATTTCTTTTTATAGAAATTTAGAATATATTTCTATTAAAAATTATAATATTTATATGATTTTTTATTGTATTTTGTATGATTAATGAACATTTAGAGTAGTGTTAATAATAGCATTGTGTTGCTGAAATCAAATTATTTCAAAACAATTCCAAAAGAGATTCTTCTTTCAGCCTTTAAGCTTAGTTTCAATGCCTTCGCCAAGACAAAAATAAAAAAACCACATATATATGAGTGATAATTATACTTAGTCTATATCTCGGCGTTGTATAAATTAGAGTATGACCAGACTGTGGTAGTCGCTATCGGGGTACGATGACACACAATCAGCCAGTCACACCTTGTCACAGACAACAGTTCCGTCAGCTGTGTAAGATCCACGGGACCCTATCTGCAGACTTGTCCTATGATGGTTGTTTTCTTTCGGAGTCAGCAATATTTCCGCAAAATGGCGGTTTTCTGTTATCGAGTAACTGATGTGTTGTGATGTGTGAAATTGGGTTTAACGTCGCGTCCAAGATAATTACACTTATATAGCGACGTGCATGCACGTGTGTGTGTGTGTGTGGCTGCTTGTACTAGTCCGGACTGATGCCGATTTATAGTGCTAGCTCACTGAGATACCATGCCGCAGTTTAACATGAATACCCCACTCAGACACAGTATACTGACTCCGAGCCGACCAGTCCTTGTTTTAGCCCCTTAATGCCGAGCGCCAGACAGGGTAACAACAAGTACAATCTTTTAACGTCTTTTGGTATGACGCGGCCGGGGATCGAACCCCGGACCTTCCGCTCTCCGGGCGGACGCTCTACCACTAGACCACGGAGGCGGTCTCGAGTAACTGAAGGGTGGACCAGACAGTGGTTGTAATTATGAACAACTCCTATGCCTTTGAGGTCCGATGACATGCAATGAACCAAATCAATACCGATTAGAATCCGGGGTAGAATAGGTCTTCAGCAACCCATGCTTGCCGTAAAAAGCGACCATGGTTGTCGTAAGAGGCGACTAACGGCATCGAGTGGACATGGTCAGGCTCGCTGACTTGGTTGATGCATGTCATCGTATCCCAATTGCGTGGATCGATGATCAGGATGTGAATCACTGGATTGTCTGGCCCAGCCTCGATTATGTACAGACCGCCGTCATATGGCTGTAATATTTCTAAATATTGCGTTAAACAACAAACAAACAAAACAAACGAACCATCTGCTCCTGAACTGATTTTCTTTTCATATCATTAGACGTTAGCTTGTCGTGAAGGTCATGACTCAGTAAAGACATCTGTATCAACCTTTCACGAATTTGTTTGGATGGTATTCTTTTCAAAATTGGCGTTTCTTGATTATCCGCAAATAGCTATAGAGAGCTCACTTTGTCACCGATCAAATACAAACGATACACACAGCGATAAGAACAGTGAGTACACCTTGTGACGAGACATTACAGCCTTAAATCATCGGGAACATCAACGACACGGGATTCAAACATTTTACCTTCAGTGAAATCAAACCCAGCCTTATATTTTACGGTGGGCACAATCACGACTTGACCCCCATCGCCCCTCAGACTCGACAGGTAGAGTGGTTGGGTGCTTTCTCTACCTGCACGTTGCCTTGTTTCTACCCTCCAATGAGAAGACATCTCTCACGTCACGAATCGAGCTATGGCTGCCTCACTCACACACAACAAGTCTTGTGCAAGCATTCTATGACCTGCCGTCCTACTCACTGAACAAAAACAGAACTACATACATAAGACCTTTTCGGGTAACACTGCTTTGGAGAGTGATATTGTTTGTTTGTTTGTTTGTTTGTTTGTTGTTAAACGCCGCACAGGAATATTCCAGTTGTATGACAGCGGTTTGTAAATAATCGAGTCTGGACCAGACAATCTAGTGATTGACATCATGAAAATCGATCCACGCCATGGGGATCCGATGACATGCATCAGCCAAGTCAACGAGCCTGACCACCGATGGTCGCCTCTTACAACATGCATAGTCGCCTTTTACAACAAGCATGGGTTGCTGAAGACCTACTCTAACCTGGATTTGCACGACACTGTGTATGTATGTGTTTTCTTATGAGTAAGTTACCTCCCTTAGCTATATCAGGATCCCCTGTTCATGTTCGAATCCCACCTGTGTCACTTCAGATTCCCCTCCAACATTAGGCTATGCTGACGGCATTATATATATAATGCCTGAAGCAACAATAATCAGACCAAGATCAATCATTAATATGTATTGGTAAAGGTCAAAGTATCAAAACTTCATAATAATTTTACGTTTCTTCAAGAATTCATTCTTCAGAAATGTAGCTCAAGAGCGCAGGTCAGGTTTTGAGTGACCGTGTATAAGTTCAGTCAAGAGAAAAAAAATAAAAAATTCTGTCGCTTTGAATTTTGTAACAGCAGCACTCGTGGCATGTGTCGATTTCACTTGCTCGCTATCAAAGCTGATAACCCAACACTTAACTTGCGACCTAGTACTCCAGTCCTTTCAACAGGTTACGTATTCAAGTTTCATTCTTCTAGTGTCTTTAAATCATTTTGAATTATTGGGGTTTTTTTAAGTTTATAATAATTGAATACAGAAAAGGTCTCTTGTATAATACATATTTGTAGGTGGAATTGTTTCCCTTGCAATAATATATAATTGATTACGCAAACATTTTTACAAAGACTTTAGTTTAGTATATACAGTGGAATTTACAAATTGGAATTTATTTCAACATCATAGTTATGGACACCGGGTGTTCGTAACGGGTGTCAGGCTCTACTCTGTGGAAGGTTTACGTAATGCAAACGTAACGTAAAGTGTGACACACTTCAAATAAGCCTAAATCATTCTTCTTAATTCGTCCATTAAGATAGATGCACGTTTCAGCAATATGCGAAGCCACCTCCTATGTCTAAGTGAGTGAGTATGGTTTTACGCCGCTTTTAGCACTATTCCAGCAATATGCCGGCGGGGGACGCCAGAAATGGGCTTCACACATTGTACCCATGTCGGGAATCGAACCCGGGTCTTCGGCGTGACGAGCGAACGCTTTAACCACTAGGCTAACCGACCACCCCTCTTATTTTATGTACTACACCCTAGATGCAAACACCCTACTGCACACTAGTTATACGTTGTAAGTTGTGTTTTAATTTTTGGCACTGTATAACATGCTTTCATTGCACATACTCAAGTAATGTAAATAATGTACTCACTCACTCACTCACTCACTCACTCCAACGATACCATTGAAATTTAAGATGCAACGTCATCTCCTTTGTCTGTGTCAGGAAAAACGAGTTCATGACAAATCAAGAATTAAGGTATTTATTTTATTTCGTAACCATTTCCGTTTTCAACATGACAACACAAAAGGAAGCCTTCAGAAGGGAGACAACTCTATCGTCTACTTGCCCACCGGAAGCAGCGTGAGGCTTCCCCACTGTGTCAGGAATTCATTCATGTCAACGGTGCCGTCACCTGAAATAGACAAGGTTTGATTGTGAGACACTACAACACGGCAACGACACTGGGTGACTGTGAACTCACTCACTCACTCACTCACTCACGTCAACGGTGCCGTCACCTGAAATAAACATGTTTTGATTGTGAGACACTACAACACGGCAACGACACTGGGTGACTGTGAACAAGGTTATTAAGATGATATGAAAACTAGATGTGATAGAGTGGAACTCAGTGAGGCACAATTGATCTTCGTGTGCACCAGAAGATACGCGGGAGATAGAAGATAAGGTTTAACTGCATGGGTCTTAGAATTGCATTTTCAGGGATGTGGTGACCATAAGTGCCCACTGCACTGTCAGTGATCCTTGGCATTTACATCAACAGGACACTGCCGTGAAGATCCGGGGTAGAATAGGTCTTCAGCAACCCATGATTGCCATAAAAGGCTTGTCGTAAGAGGCGACTAACGGGATCGGAGGGTCAAGTTCGCTGACTTGGTTGATGCATGTCATCGTATCCCGATGTCCATGATGTCAATCACTGGATTGTCTGGTCCAGACTCGACTATTTTTAGACCGCCGCCATATAGCTGGAATATTGCTGAGTGCGGCGTTAAACAACATACAAACAAACATAACATTGATTATACACTCTGTCCATTTCAAACTACTGGCAGACCTGACTTCCTACGAATACATGCATTACTTATGGGACTTTTCCCCCTGAATACATAAACGGGCAAGTAAAACGTACAATGATAACCGCTGAACATTAATGACGTACTCAAGTCAATGTCACCTCAAAGAAACACAGTAAAAGGCGCAGGAACTATATCGACGCGAAACCTCCGTGCCACGAGTGTGTACCATGTGTCCGACTCCACGTGTTTCCAGGAGCGTTGCGGTAGTTTACATACATGTTTATAATTGAACTACTTAAAGTACATGATCAGTACTCACTGTCCATGTCGAAATACTGGAAGATGAAAGGTAGATCGGCCTTGGTGATTTTTCCATCATCAGTTGCGTCAGCAGCCTTGAACAGCGCGTCAGCCTCCGCCATTGGTCCTAGGGTGTACTTGACGACCCACTCGTCCTCGAACTCCTTTTGTGTGATCTCTTTGTCGCCTACAACAGAGGACCTCCATTACATTTGTGAATCTGGCAGCATGTTTCTCGGGTACAATTTTAGCAACAGTAAGGAGTGAGTGAGTGAGTGAGTTGGGTTTAACGCCGCTTTTAACAGTATTCCAGTTATATCGCGGCGTGTCAGCTTGATGTGGGAGGAAAGCCCGAAGTGATGCAGGTCTCAGACGTTTACCACTTCGGTGAAACCCACGAGCACGGGTATGGTGCTGACAAACCTAATCGGGGCGAACCGGGACTCGAACCCACAATCATAGATTTCTGGCGTGTTCAAGGGACGCAACTCTGCACAGCGAATCGCGGCGCCTTAGACGAATGGGCCACCCGTGCCCCCGCAACAGTAAGGAGGGAGGTAGGACTGTGAAATAACTGAAACACTCTTCAAAGCGTCGCCAAAGCAAACACAGACATATCATTCATATAGCATCTACTTAAAAACTAAGTGTCCGTTTGGATGCTGTGAATGTTATCATTATATCTAAGGCTGCAAAACTCCATTTTCTCCGGAGCTCCTTTGAGTTTTATTGAAAAAACAAAAGCGATGCGGGAGGAACATATTGAACCTGGCTCTTAAATGTAATGAATGTTGTCAAACTTACAAGTATGATGCAGGAAAGTTCAAATATGTCTTTTATTTGCAGTAAACGTACGTGCAGGATTTAAAGTGACGCGCCAATGACCGAGACAGAATTTCTTTTACAGCCCTCTTTATCAGTAAAGTAAAGATGGCGATTAGGTGCCTCACTCTCAGTGTGGGTTCGAATCCCGGATTGGATTCAAACAAAGAAAGTACTAGAATCTGTACTTTACTATGAAAGTGTTATCCCAAACATAACATTTGTTACAGAAAACGTTGTGTGGTAAGTGAGATAGTATTCTTTATGTTCTTACTGTTGGTGTCAAAGAAGAGGAAGATGGATTCCAATTCAGCGTTGGAAAGTTTGCCGTTCTTGTCCTTGTCGACGTTGTTGAACAACATCACCTCCTTCTGCGGCTCAGAGTTGCAGGACACCAAACTGAAGAACAGAACCAAGCACCAGCATCAGTGATGTAAAGACAGATCAACAAGGACAGTGCCATCCTTTAATTTATCTGTTGACATGAAGCCGGTTGAGCTACAATTCTAAATATCTTTCTTACATAATACAGTATCTATATTGTACTCAAAACAGTTTAGGACCACCCGTTTCCTTCCTATTATTATGGGGGCACGGGTGGCCCAGTCGTCTAAGGCGCCGCGATTCGCTGTGCAGAGTTGCGTCCCTTGGGCACGCCAGAAACCTATGATTGTGGGTTCGATTCCCGGTTCGCCCCGATTATGTTTCTAGGTTTGTCAGCACCATACCCGTGCTCGTGGGTTTCACCGAAGTGGTAAACGTCTGAGACCTGCATCACTTCGGTCTTTCCTCCCACATTAAGCTGACACGCCGCGATATAACTGGAATACTGTTAAAAGCGGCGTTAAACCCAACTCACTCACTCACTCCTATTATTATAGTGGATCTGCCATGCAACATGATACTACTGATAATGAACTTATTTTTAAATACCATTGTTACATATCTATAGTGTTTTGTGTTATGCGAAATACATATTATTGTGCTATGGAATAGTTCAGTTCACTATGTCTCCATTCTATTGTGATACATACGAAGGACCCACTCACCACCATACCTTAATGTTGAGTTCCATTCGTACGGTAAAATGCGAAACACACCCATCCCAACAATGTACGTCCCGTGAAGATCCGGGGTACAATAGGTCTCCGGCAACCCATGCTTGCCGTAAAAGGCGACTAACGGCATCGGGTGGTCAGGCTCGCTGACTTGGTTGATGCATGTCATTGATCCCACATTGCGAGGATCGATGCTCATGATATCAATCACTGGATTGTCTGGTCCAGACTCGATTTTTTACAGACCGCCGTCATATAGCTGAAATGTTGCTGAGTGCGGCGTTAAACAACCAACCAACCAACCAAGAAACAATGTACACTCATAAGTACTTCCAGTGCATTTGTCATAAGAGAATGGAGATAAACTAGACTGGATGAGCGATGATTGAATGTGACTGCGATGATTGAACGTGACTGCGATGATTGAATGTGACTGCGATGATTGAATGTAACTGCGATGATTGAATGTGACTGCGATGATTGAATGTGACTGCGATGATGGAATGTGACTGCGATGATTGAATGTGACTGCGATGATTGAATGTGACTGCGATGATTGAATGTGACTGCGATGATTGAATGTAACTGCGATGATTGAATGTGACTGCGATGATGGAATGTGACTGCGATGATGGAATGTGACCGCGATGATGGAATGTGACTGCGATGATGGAATGTGACTGCGATGATGGAATGTGACTGCGATGATTGAACGTGACTGCGATGATTGAATGTGACTGCGATGATGGAATGTGACTGCGATGATGGAATGTGACTGTGTGAAGGCCAACTGCTTCATGGTCCTACCCGAGGAGGAGGACCGACGCCACTGCTGCAACCAGGAACTTCATGATGGCGAGGATCTAACTGCAACAGAGTAAACACAATATTAAATTGACTTATTATCTGGTTATTACGGGGGGGCGGTCGGGTAGCCTAGTGGTTAAAGCGTTCGCTCGTCACGCCGAAGACCCGGGTTCGAATCCCGACATGGGCACAATGTGTGAAGCCCATTTCTGGTGTCCCCCGCCGTGATATTGCTGGAAGATTGCTAAAAGCGGCGTAAAACCATACTCACTCAATCACTCACTGGTTATTACGAATGTAACTACAGTATTCTAGTCATTATAGCAACTGAAGAAACGTGGAATTAATTAATTATCGAAACAAAGACGACAAAGCCCATTTCCATAACCGCAAGAGACGATTAATGGGATCGGCTGACATGGTTGATGCATGTCATCGTATCCCAATTGCCTTGATCGATGCTCATGGTGTCCATAACTGGTTTGTCTGGGCCAGATTCGATTATTTTCTGACCGCCGTATAGCTTGAATAGTGCTGAGTGCAGCGTTTAACAACAAACAGACAAACAAATCAATAATCATAAGAAATCTCTATTAAATGAGTTAGTGAGTGAGTTTGGTTTTACGCCGCATTTAGCAATACTCCAGCAATATCACGGCGAAGGACACCAGAAATGGGCTTCACTCATTGTACCCATGTTGGGAATCAAACCCGGGTCTTCGGTGTGACGAGCGAACGCTTTAACCACTAGGCTAAAGGACCGCCCCTACTAAATGAAGAAACTGTAATGGTAAGAACGACCCCACATGTTTCCATGTGCTCTTGAAGGATAACTTAAGTTAATTCCATTGGTTAACACGAAGCACGTGACAAAACAAAACATTTCAATGTTCACACCCAAATCACGTGACTAACACCGTCCTTAAATATTGACTCGTCACATGATCAGTATTGACCCGTCACGTGATGAATATTGACTCTCGTCAACTAGAAAACAAAATGGCGTCTGGTTTTGATATATCACGGTTGGCAGGTTTCTGTAGTGGACAGAGGACAGTTTCATAACTGTTTCAGGGCTTCATAAAGTTTGAAGTGAATTTCAGTAAAACAAAACGAATGATTACTCTTGACGAGGTCAACACGGGGTAGTCTGACCGAACCTCGGCCTGTCTTCTATGTAAAAAGTACATCTTACCACATTCAGTGTCAGAAAGAATAGTGATGTCAATTGACCGTGACGTCATGGTAATCGATGACGTCACAATGGTATGGAAAGCATTGTGAGGCAATTTCTCCCCACTCTCCTACCCAGAGTTCCATGCGGCCGGCAGCCAGCTAGCATAGTACCTCTGCCACAGGCCAGCGCCATGTGACGATTCGTCACATCTTTCACAGTCCATTCAAGATATTGCATATGCTTTTTATCCGTTTCATGTTTGACTAGTCTACACATTTTCATAAACAAATGTCAAAGAATGGTTAACTTTCATTGAGAAAGTATGCAAATACGTAAAATTCTACTTGTTTTTGCGTAGTTATCCTATGTTTACATTGGTTGTACGGCTCCACGTGCTGTCATGGAAGCCCAACGGAGAGCTAGCGACACGGTCACTTTGATGCATAAATATATATTTTCATGCAACTCACTGTCGCAGTTGTAGTAGCATATCTATATAGTTATGCAAAACAATATGTAAAGCGCCCCCAAATACTTGCATTAGTCCGTTCTATACTGATTTCTGAAAAAGCGCGTTTGTTTACAAACAAGAGAAATGTCCGGTCACGTGATATGCAAATTAGCCTGTGGCAGTGGTGTTATGCTAAGTCACCACTGCGCCGGAGTGTGAGAATAGTGATGCCAATTGACCGTGACGTTATGGTAATCGATGACGTCACAATGGTATGGAAAGCATTGTGAGGCAATTTATCCCGTGATAGCCACTTTTACATGATAAACGTACATGCTGCCCTGTCGGGTATATTATGAGAACTACCTTCGATTAATTGCGGTTCATCGTTATCAAGGAAGGTATGTCAAAAGATTAATTCCCAATGGAAAGATATAGAGGATATTTCATGTGCCAAGTTTCTCTCATCTCATTTTCCCGAGAAACATTGAATATCCTTTTATTATATACTTTGTGTGTAGTTCTCTACGGGAATCGTTTTTTTATTACAAATGTAAAACCTTGAAACGTACATTCTCCCTAACTAACACACAGGCACGTTTCACCACCCCTTGTAATTGCGACTTAAAAACTAGTTCCGAGTACGCAAAATCATAAAAAATATAAACAAAAGCAATAAAAATATTGAATGAAATTCTTTATCATGCATTTGGTTATGATAAAATACAAAATCCGCTGTTCGAAGCGAAGGAATACACGCTGATCAAGTAACAAAAATGAGAAATGTAAAGTTTATAGCAAAACATTTAAAAGAGAATAGCAAAGGGCAAGAAGCGATATTGTCTCAATAAATGGTCATCTGTCATTATTTTGCCTTGTAAAAGTGGAGAGAAGTCAACGTAAACAGGACGTCAGCAATTTGTGTAGGTGTCAGACACTAGATAAAGGGAGACAATTTAAGGGGAGGTCACTCTTGTTATCAATTGTTTAGTTCACTGAAAAGAAATTATCGCTTTTCTCAGAAAAATCAATCAATTGAAGTATATCATAAAAAAACGTAATTCTGAGTTTCGAGTTGGTTATTCTCTTTCTTACCCATAATCAAACTTACTGCAAGCATCTCTGGATCCGAACCCTCACCATCCTCGATATGTCTAGCGTCTGTAGCCATAAATAAATGTATCCCTACGCAAGGGTAAACAAACGACCATATCACGGCACGTCCGATTGTGTACAATAAGCTCGCTATTACCATGCACATTTAGTTTATTTGTATCACTTATATGGGGGCACGGGTGGCCCAGTCGTCTAAGGCGCCGAAATTCGCTGTGCAGAGTTGCGTCCCTTGGACACGCCAAAAACCTATGATTGTGGGTTCAAATCCCGGTTCGCCCCGATTATGTTTCTAAGTTTGTCAGCACCATACCCATGCTCGTGGGTTTTCCCGAAGTGGTAAACGTCTAAGACCTGCATCACTCCGGGCTTTCCTCCCACATTTAGCTGACACGCCGTGATATAACTGGGATAATGTTATAAGCGGCGTTTAACCCAACTCACTCACTCACTCACTTGTATGACTTATTCAAACACAGCATGCAAAACGTAAGACACGTATTGTTACATTGTATTCATTGACTTAAACAGATGCAACTTAACAATTTTATAATAAACATTGACGAGTGTTGAATGGACCACACGTGTTATTTATTCAGAGTCAGAATCCAGAATTATGCGACGTCTCATTCCATATACGCATACGGATGATAAGTAAGGAAAAGATATATGGATGAACAACTTCTTTATTACGATTAGTAGCGACGTTTCCGTGTAGTTTCTAACACTGTTATCAAGCAAGTGATGAACCTACACCGAAACGCCGGTCTAAATTGTAATAAAGAAGTTGTTCATCCATATACCTCATCCTTACTTAGTACTCAAACTTGTAAATGTCTCTCAAAGAACCTAACGTGGATGATAGACTGAAAGAACGAATGAATGAAAAGTAGTACCGGCGACCAAGAAAAACCTATTCGTCACCACTCGCCCCTTTTCGTAACCTGCAAGAAGACTCGTCCCCTTATCGATGAATGTTATGTGCGAAAATACGACAAACCAATCAGAATGCGCGTATGATTTCTTCGTCAAAGAATCCCTCAGGAATATTTTTTTATTTTACATATGTCTTGCACCTAAAATAATATCCAATACACAGTTAAATGTGTTCAATCATACTGTATAATTCCGCACGTTCCGATGTGCTTTAAATTGCATCTGAAATATATATAATATATGGGGAAATATATGTGAACCACTACGCAACGAGTTGACAATTGTTTTAGGTATGCCCGTTTGCGCTAAGACGGAACCCGGTCGCAAAAATGGCCACGAGAGGGGCACGAGTCGCTATTCGGCTTGTCCCGGAATAACACGAGTTGGTCACGAATGAGAAAAGCCGAGTTATTTATAGAAGAACTGTAATTCCGGAACATTACGGAACATTAAAATACCCTCTATCCGGCTTCCCTGATTGGTAAGAAAAGGCATACCTCCGGTCTTTGACTGCCATTCCTGGCTACAGTGACATGTCCTTCACATTGTATCGGGCGTTACCGTAACACATGTAGCATTTCCTACAAAAAGTATCTTGATCTAGCCCACGTATCCTGCGTTATACGGAGTACCTGGTATATGTGTATCCTAGCTCGACGTCACGCCGACCGTTATTATCTCGCCACGGTGATATCGCGTTCGTTGTAAATCACCAGGAATACCTTAATATCGCTTCCGTTTTAAATTACAATTCTCTACCTTAGTGTTATTGCGTCCGTTGTATATTATCATCCTCAACCGTAACATTGTGTCTTTTGTAAATTATCTTGCACTACATGAGTATCACGCCAAGTATCGAGATCTAACTATATATCGTGTCATAATCACACTGACATGCTTTTTATATACATTGCATAACATTTGTTTAGAACCCAAACCTAAACCTCATAAAACTCATTTAGGGACTTGACGTGTTTCCCCTAAATATGGTTAGCGTTGTTTGTAACATCTATAGCATGCTTAAAATATAAATCTAATATGTTTATAATCTTAACGTTATATATTCACCTGGCACCATCACTATTTTTATAACAAATGTTATATTTGGGATAACACGTTCTGAGTAAAGTACAGATTCTTGTACCTTTTTGGGTTGAGTCTCGTCCGGGATTCGAACCCACACTGCCAGAGTGAGGCACCTAATCGCCAGCTCACAACGTTAGCGATCTAACTCACTCAGCAACCGAGGCTTCCACAACCCTGTAGTATAGATCACGTACTTTGTGTACCCCTCCGACAAGTGTAAATTGGCACGGCTCCCATGGCCGAAAGCTATGAACATACAATGCCATTGAGAAAGTGGTCAACTGTAACAAATGTTATATATACTTTGGATAACAATATACTTTACTCAGAAAGTGTTATCCCAAACATAAAATTTGTCACATTTGACCACTTTCTAAATGGCATTGTGTATTCATACCATCAGTATTTCATAGTGATTCATAAACACATGCTTATGATAGTATTACACAATGGACAAAGCATATTTTATGTTTATGGATTTGGTGTTCCGTCGTTTATATTAATAGGAAAACATGATCACAATATTTAGATTCACGACTGACATGAGTGGTAGTTTTGCCGAGAATTTGAGCGAGTGAGTGAGTATGGTTTTACGCCGCTTTTAGCAATATTCCAGCAATATCAAGGCGGGACACACCAGAAATGGGCTTCACACTTTGTACCCATGTCGGGAATCGAACCCGGGTCTTCGGCGTGACGAGCGAAGCCGAGAATTTGACCTGGTGTAGGTATTCTGATATGTTCAAATAGCGAAAAGCGAAACGTTTTACGATCGGACATCACCAATATCAAGGGTCGACAAATTAAATCATGTCAGTTAAGATGCGTACAGGCACAGGTACCGCTCTGTGATCCACGACTTTGTATGCTGCTGTGTTTATCAAAGCAAAATGAAAATCAACAGAGAATCTAGCATTAATGTATAACCTCCTTTTGGCTGGAAGGATTTATTAAACTATATATTATTATATGATTGATCCCCGTAAGATTTGAAAATGCTATCACACAATAATAATAATTTATTTCCCTCATTAAATTCACGCAATCACGCACTCATACACTCAAGGCTCTTCGTCAATTTGCTTTACGGACTGATGCCGACAGAAGTTATCTTGTAACCATAGTTACATACGACAAGAAACCCCGCGAAATGGAGGCTACTATGTGAAGCCATGGGTTACGTATACAGTGAGATATCAGCCCATATCTAAACGTGTTGAAGAAAAATAAACGCAAACCTTTGTTCCGTTAAGGTCTTTTCACTGTCAGAAGGTGTGTGTGTGTGTGTGTGTGTGGGGGGGGGGGGGGGGGGGGGGGGGGTCCTTTCGGGGGACCTTCAACTTTCTATGCCACCATGTCGGAAAATGTGTGTAGTCAAAATTTATACGCCTTTTCAAATACTCTCGTCAATTCAATTGTATATAGACCCATTAGAGCCTTAAGCCTTATTATAGATATATTGAAACTTGGATATGTCGGGGTACAGCTTGAGAGTGATGGAGATGCAGATATGACGAGTTCCTGGCTCTGTATTGGGATATTCGTTAGGATACGCTCAGCCTTTAGCGAACACCTGGTATCATTACTATGTGATAGTGATTCAACACATGCTCATGGTATAGTAGGATACGCACAATGGACCTTGAATTCAACAGAGATTTTTCATAACATCTTTGATAGGCATTTAGAAGTCTACTCCAGGATAACAATATCTACTCTACTGTATAAACATTGCCTCCTACTTGTATATATACTTGCCAACCACACTCTGTGTTCCACTTGCTTGATAACGGTGTTAGAATCTACACCGAAACGCTCCTAATTGTAATAAAGAAGTTGTTCATCCATAAATTCTTATCCTTACTGAGATTTCTCATGATTATGAAAATGGCTGTTGTCGCTTTTATCTACAAAGAATCTCACCCGTTTAGTTAGGAAATTCGGTCAGATATGAAATATCGCTGACAATATGCCACACATCTTTCTGGTTATGAAAGTATATAATATTGTCATAACAGGGTAAAATACTGACGAGATGCATACTATAGTCCAAAAGAAATGAAATAAAACTTTCGAGTGGATACGGGTCCAGCTAATCGGAGATTTAGTAATGCAAAAAATGCGGCAGAACACCTCAGCCATACTTACCTTGAACACAGACGCAGGTAAACTGTCTCTCAGTAGCCCCTTGCCACAGTTCAGATAACACCTGACGAAGCTGATAGCCCTCTGTGTATGGAAACCCGTCCGTGTCTGAATTCTGAATAACTGCTGATCAACCCTATAAGTTCATTAGGTGACATCTTGTTTGAACCGGTTGTATTGCCCATGAAAGCAATTGAAATGCTCACGATAATGAAGATAATATCCTATGAAATTATTCATATAAATTACTTTTGTGATGAGGTTCAGATATTATTCATGTCAGACGAACATTGACCACCTCGTTTTAACAGAACCAAAAGCTGGGGTGTCTGTTACTTCACTAAATATTCTGTAATGCGAAATCAAGTTCCCTCCTGTACCTTACTTACTTACTTTGGAGATTTAACGTGCGCTTTCCGACTGATGCGTATTTCGCACACGGGCCCGGCCAGGCCATTTAATGTGTTTCCGAAAGGGGCGAAAGTGGTGTGAGCAACCCAAGAGGGGGTTTTAGGGGTTGCTTATATAGAACCTCCTGTACCGATCTTACAGACATATTTGTAGTCACCTTTATTTTTTTTATTTTTTGTAATTCCAGCTACATGGCAGCGGCCTTTAAATTATCGACTCGGGACCAGACAATCCAGTGATACCTTTCACTTATCTATGAAAACTTAAGTACTGGCTTCCATACCTTCAGCGCTAATTACTGTAAAGTCTGGCTTCAATTGTCTGATGCTAATCACCTATCAGCGCCAATCATCTGTTGGCTTCCATTGTCTGTTGCCAATCACCTATCAGCGCCAATCATCTGTGGGCTTCCATTGTCTGTTGCCAATCACCTATCAGCGCAATCATCTGTTGGCTTCCCTTGTTAGTTTCAACCCTTTGTTATTTTCCACCTTTTGTTATCTTATTAATTTTGTTGTCCTTACATGTACATATATATGCTCCCTGCCTCATGGCATTCATTCACCTGATGAAGGAGTAAGCATATACTCCGAAACGTTGTGTTCCTCATAATAAAGAAGTTGACCTCCATATATTCTCTTCCTTATGTGTATCACTTCTAAATGTCTTTCAAAGGACCTAATCCAGTGATCGATAATAAATTGTATGAGCAGCGACCCACGATGCCGGAGTACGATGAAACACCACATCAGCCAGCCTGACCTCTTCTAACCTGGAATCCTCACGGGACCTTCATATAAATAGGACTGAGACAAAATGAACTTTCGCTTCCTGACTGAAGGATGTTAGATTATGAGAACGCGACCGTTACCATTTATGTTTTGGGTTGACAGAGGTTCAGAAGCACATTATGAGGCAAAACGTTGAATTGTGGAATTTATTTTCTTCCATACTGTCAAAGACGTCACAGTCAGACGGACCTCGAGGGTCATTGTACGACCTTGTTTTCTGACCCCAAAAAGAGATTTATTTTTTAACTTTTCGTGGACACCCGCCGCCATCACTGATTTTAGTGATCCATTCCTATAATTTTCATCACTATTTTGTTTTTTACGCCCAATGAAATCTGTTTCGGCAGATAATCGAGACTGGTTATTTTCTGGCCTTGATGTTTACTATTTGCAATAATTCTGTTCATTTTATACACCGACAAATATGATCTAATTTGATTTATCTGAAGATAGATTTGTGCTATAAATGAACATTTGAAGGGGTCGCCTTAACATTATCTTGCTTCTGTCAATATGTCAATATACCGGTTTCTTAGGGTCAAAGTCCACTGAAACTAATCTGTCAACCAATTGATTCTGTTGCCTGCCTGTGTGCTTGCAGCCTAACGCCCAGACCTTCCCTGTAAGCAAACATCCAGATAATACAAGGAAAACATGTACTGGGTTTGGGAATTACAATGTATTTAAATGAAATATTCAAAATTGGAAATTAATAATGACAAGACATGTTTCTGTGGTTCAACATGAACATATTTCTTAAAGGTTTCTCTTTACTTATAAGCAGCAGAATATCTGCGCTGTGCACAGGAGACCTAATTCTAAGTTAACATATCGTTTCAGTTTTATGAAAATATGTACTGCACTATTGTGGCACTGGATTGTCTGGTCCATGATTATTTTGTCAAGATCGATTTACAGGGACGCTCACTATTTATGTGAGTGGTGGGTGCTGCCGGTAGAGCAGGACATGCTTTCGATTTTCGCGAACACCTGGTGTCATCCCTGATTGTCAGTGATCCATAATTTTCACGGCTATTTTGGATTTTGAGCCTAGTGGAATTCTTTTCAGCAGATAATCGAGACTGGTCTTGCGTTGGCGTTCTATAATTTTGTGAAAGCAAGGAAGAAATTTAAACAACGAATGAAATGCTTTGTTATTGTGTGATCATAGGAAGGATTTACTCAAAAGTGATGTATAGATGTTAAAATATGGCACTATTCATATCATAACCCACATCAACCCGAGCTGATATGGGGGTCTCGGGTTGATTTTGGGTTTGATATGAAGACTGCGTTATTATAACCTTTTTATCATTGTAAATGTATCTATTTGCAAGTGAATGCAAAACATTTTCACCTTGTTTGGAAGTCATTGTCACGGGAAAACTAGCTGAGCAGACGACGCACTAAGTGACGTAACTGTAAGTTTTCCCACCCGGGATCCGCTAATTTTAAATGCGTTCATAAGTCATATGTGGCCGTCGGAGGTGGGGGGGGGGGGGTTATTCCACCCCCGTGATAGGACCGTCTCCATGTTAGACTATCGCACATGCAAAAATGCTTCATATCATTGATAGGTGTATGATAACATGTTCTATGGCTCAAATACCCGTGT